ATATTAAATTAAAGCCAACCTACTACACATATAGAAAGCTACATATATCTATATATAAATATTTACATATGTATATATAGATACTTTCTTGTTATAAAAGATGAAGAAAAATAAATTAAAAAGCCAACCCCTTCCCTTTCTTCACCACATTGATATGCTCCTTTCATGGTGCTGTCCTTCAGACCTTAAAGTGCTACACACTGAGTTATTGAGAGGATAAGAGTTCAATAACAGTTGGCTTTATGAGGCTCATGTTGGAAAATGTGGCTTCACAGAGAAAAATACTTCCATTTAAATACACAGAGAGCATTGCTGGACATCTTGAGCAGATCTTCAGAGATGGAGAAGAAAGCAAAAGTGTTGGGCGGTACTCTTTAAAGAAGAGTCACACGTCTACCACCATCTTTTTGTGGATGTCTAGGCCGCCTACAACCTGCAACAGACGGAACAAATCACACTTGACCACGTCCCAGGAACTCCTTTTTACTAGTCTAACCACCTTATCAAAACTACAGTTTAAAAAAAAAACCTACTACTTTAGCCATTTCCAGAAGCTGCTGCTGTTTTTTAAGCTTGCATTGCCTTCTAGTGGAATTCTCACAGCTTCTCTCTCCCAGGATAACAGGCATCTTTTTGTGTTCTAGCACAAGGGCTCGCAAAATTTTCTGTCAAGGGCCAGGTAGGATATTTAAAGCTTTGTAGGCCACGTAGAGTTTCTCTTAAATTTTCTTCTACTTTTTTTTTAAACAACATTTTAACATGTAAAAAACTTTCTTAGCTCAAGAACATACAAAGCCAGCCACAGGCAGGATCTGGCCCACTCTTTAGCAGGCCGACATGGCCCTTAGTCATTTAATGTTAAATGGTAACCAGATGTTCCCATAAAAAATGTAAAAAACCAAGTATGAGCTTCACTGTCGGTCTGTCCTAGAAGGTACCAAAAAGTACCCGATGAATAAAATTCTCTGCCCATTCTCTTCCCAGAGTCAACACACGCAGGTTGTTACAGACAGCTCAGTGGATAACGACAGGGCACTCTGAAAGTTTGAAGTATAACCTACACAGAGAAAGTCAGTCCATCCTGAATGTTCACAGCACGATGAATTTTCAGACTGAACACCCAAGTGACCAGCACCCAGGGCGTCGTCAGGGCTCTCCCACGGCCCCCACCCCGCACCGGCCACCTCCCTCTGGCCAGGCCACGACACACAGGCAGTCATTAGCAAGAGTTTAACACCATGGGTTAGCTTGATCTGTTTTATACGTTGTAAATGAAGCTTTTCGCATCTGGCTTGTCTCACTCAGCATTATGTATGCGAGATGAATCCATGCTGTTGAGTATACTTGTGTCTGTAATAATTATTTGTAAACATTTAGTTTTTATTTGAAAAGTAAAGCTTAAACAACCAACTAGTTCTACAACTCCTGCTATGAAAGGCGCAGTTTGCTACCCTGCCCTCACTCTCTGTTTCTTTTTACCTAGATGCAATTATCCAGAATCTTCTGTAATTTTCAGTATTTACCTACGGTCTCCAAATAACATTCCTGCATTGCTTTTTCTCAGATTTAAAGCTTAGGCATTATCCACTGACTTCTCACCACGTAAGGTGAAGATTTAACTTTCACACAATCTCTCCCTTCCATCTCCTATCCCAGATACTTCCCACCTCTCTCACACTTCAAATAGCTGTATTTTTTTTTGATCTGACAGAAATTCAGCATTTTATTTATGACTATATAAAATACTCCTTATAGCAGAATAGAACCGTGTACTAGGATTACTTTTTCTTTCCTGCATGTTTGTTTTGCTACAGTTAATAACTCTCTGATCTTTGTCTTTGCTGGTGTTCTGAGTATTTATTATTAATTCAACCCTAAACCTCTATTCTAAATACATTCAAATATATTATGTACTTCTATCAATTTTATTATTTTGAAATCACTCCGAGCTTTCCAGCCTGCTCCAGTCCACGCCTGTCACCTGCAGATCCCCGTCCCCATCATCCTGGAGACCCCATCTCTCATGCTGGGCCCTCTGCTTCCTGGATTCCACATTATCTTCTTTCTTGACTTAAAAGCTTAATACAGTGGGAGCACATCCTCCAGTAGTTTCCAAAACAGGGAGGCCTTGCAAACCTGAAGATGTCTTTATTTCTACCATCTAGTGTAACTGAGTCTACTGAAAGTTCCCTTTGGAAACAGATGCCCCCAGAACTGTAAAGACAGTGCTCCCCTGTCTCTAGTTTCCAACTCCGCTAACGAAGGAATGTGCCGCCATACGGATTCTCGAATCTTCGTATGAAGCCTCCTCCGGCCCCTCCAACTTAGCTCTCTGGAAGTCTGTAGAACCACCTCTTTGTTTTAAAATTTCTTGACAATGTGCCTAAGCCCAGATTACCTTTATATACTATGCTGGGTTCTCAGTAAGTCCTTCTGATCAAGGAAACTCATTATTTTTGATTCTGAGGTATTTTCTTGATTCATTTCTGATGACTTCCTTCCCTCCATTTTCTTTCTGGAACCCTAGCACTGAGGTGTTAAGACCTCCTAGAATGAACCTCAAAATTTTAATTTCCAAGAGCTCTTGTATATATATCATCCAATTTTTCTTTCAAAGATTCAATGTACCGTATGCTTGAGGATAATAATGACATCTTTGTTTTACTTTTAAAGTGTTTACTGGCTTTGCATAGCCTGCTTCTCTAAGCTTCTTTTTCAGGCTTGTTTTCACCTCTGTAATCAACGTTAAGAGGTTTGCCTTGAATGTCTGGTGATCCCACGTACCTCGTGGGGATGCTGACCGCGGGCCTCACTGTGAGGGATCTGGTAGGACCACTTCTGGAGATCAGAGTTCCCACAGAGGGCTTTCCCCACCTCTTGCCTGGAGGGGTTACGTCCAGCTGCCAGGGCATCAGGTCAGGGAAGAAGATGGCTGGAGGTGTTGAAATGCTCTTCACCTAACACACACACACACACACACACACACACACACACACACTCTCTCTCTGTCTCTCTCTCTCAGCAGCTCTTCTGTCAGCCTCACTCTCATTCCCATTCTCAGCTACCTTACATCACCTTCCTGAGCCTCTCAGGGGTTCTGCATTGTAACGTTTCTCAGCTTTCCGAGCTGACAGCTTAGAACTTCCGTCCTGTCTGCTAAAGCAGTTAGCCGTTCAGCTTCAGCAGCCACCACATCTAGTTACTGTCCTCCCTGCTCTTCACCTGGTCCTTGTGGATTTATACCCTTTCTTTTTAATCTATTTAATTTCAGTGGAGTTTTGAGAGGAAGCAAAAATAAATACGTGTTCAACCCACCAACTTTAATCCTGTCATGAATCATTTATAATATTTTTGCAAGATAAAGAATTCCAAAAATGTTAAAGTACGTATATAGTATGTGATCTTTTAAAGTAACATTTCCATTCTCTTTCACCGTGACAGCTTAAGAAATCAGAATAAAGAGAACTCAAAGAGCCAAAGGTATAGGCTTGCTCAATGGTCAAAAAAGTTGGTTTAAAACACAAAACAAACATCTTTCTTCCTTCCTCAACTATGCTCTCCAAAAACAGAACTAAATGCAATTTATCAGAAATACTGAAAAACCATCTCAAAGCTTAGCTTACGCCTCCAGTGTAAACAGCATCATTTCTATACCTAAAGACGCACTTTAATTTCCTTCCACTGGTAAGTGATCCACATGCAATTTTAAGTTACATTTTATATTTACTAAGTGTAAGTAGTCTTCACTTGTATACATCCCCATATCACTCCAGCCAAAGAGTCTTCCATTTTTGTTTTGTTCCCTCAAGGCTTGAAATTTTTTTCCCCTTCGTCTGAAAACTGGCTGCCATCTATAATGCCACTCCGAGTCAGGCCTCATGTCACACACAATCTGATGCCAGTGCATGGGAGGCCCTCAGTGACGGTCAGTGATGGTGAAGGAGGAAGCCGGAAGGGGTAAGAAGCCCCTGGGGCAGCAGTACCACCGGGCAGTGGTTCCAAGGTGCAGACTCCAGCCTGTCTAACCCTCTTCCAAAAAGACCTAGCCTGTCCTTTAGACTAGAGCACCACCCTATTTTTTGAAACAAAATGCAAAGATAGGATTCCCTTGCGATGAAAGAAGATACTTACAGGATAGTGTGAATGTCTACCTAAATGCCAAAGTAGCTTCTTAGGTCCTTATACAACCAGAGTCATTCGTTTTCCCTTGTGTGGTTTAAATAAAAAATGAAAGGAACAGGAGGAAAAAATCTTCCTATAGAAGCATCTGGTGGTGACTGAAAATTTGCAAAGCTTTTTCTTTGTCTTTGCCGCTTCTCCGGATTCTCTAGTATCTCCAGCATGCAGTTAAAACTCCTTATAATGCATGAAAAAGTTAGTGCCTGTGCCTCCAGGCCAGGAGTAAGGAGGAGAAGCAGTGAACTGGGAGCTAAGCCGCTGCCCCAGTTCCCACCTCGAGCTGCTGCCCAGGGCTTCCCAGAACTGTCGTCCCCACCTCTGCCTCCGCAGAGCCCTTGCCCCAGATCACAAGACCTACCCACCACCAGCTTAGAAAAGGAGCTGGGCGACACCTAGCTGCCGAGGCCAGAGCGGACAGCGACTCCATGGCTGTCATCCGCATGAAGCCCGGCCTCTGGATTCCTAGCCAAAACTCATGAACATATATTTCCCACAAAAGTGTTTTCCAAAAAAAAAAAAAAGTATTTTCAAATAAATCAGTTGTTAATTTGGGACACTACACCAACAACATGTAAAAGTTACTAGTACCATTTTCATGGCACTTTATCAGACAGTCGCTGAGAATATTACTTCTTGAGAATAATAAAAATTGGTAATTATTAACAATTACAACAAAGAATATTTCAAAACTGAATATGGGGCTGTAGGCAAAATCAAATATACAAATTTCTAGGGCAAAATAACTATAAGGAATTCTCTATTAAGTGGTTTTAAAAATGTTTTTATGAAACGACACTGTGAAGACCCAGCTCTGTACTCACAGCACAGAATTCTTCAAAGGATATTCTTCCATCTCCATCCTTATCTGCATTTATTATGGTTTTGTCTACGATCTGCTGTAACTGTGTGTCTTTCAGATTGTTCCCCACCATCATCTTCAGCACCTGGAAGAGTTCCCCATTGGAAATATAGCCATCTTTATCCATGTCATAGATACGGAAAGCAACTAAAAAAGAGTAAGGAAAAAAAAAAACAAGAGTAAAGAAAATCAATGGCAATTATAAGGCAACCACAAATGAATACTTTCAATCAGAAAGAAAACCGTATGTTGTCAAACACTTAGACTTATAACTGTGAGGGCGGTTCCTTTCTACACAGAGATGTTGTCTTTAGGTGAAAATAGTTAAGAGTCTATGGGCTATGGATTCAAGACTGCTTGGTCCGATTAGTGTAACCTAGAGGTAAGACATTTCACTTTCCGAACTTCAGTTTCTGTACATATAAAATTGGGGCTAACAACGGTCCCCGCCCCCCAGGGTCTTCAGAGCACTGACTGAGGTAATGCACAACCAGAGGCAGCAGCTGCTACTGCTGTTACCTCGTTTATATCAAGAGTTCATTGCAAAGGATGCTGCATGTATCCTATGCCCCAGAGAACTGTTAGTAAATGCACCTCTCTGGTTAAGAGCTGAGTATTTTTTAAAGACATCAGATGTTCACTATAACAGAGGCAGCCTATGTAAACCAAAATAGTGGACTTCTGGCTAAATATTTTTGAATACAGTGAGTATCAGTGAATTTGCCCTAATCACATTAGAGCATCTCTAGTCACTTTCATGCCAATACTTTATAGGAACTATAAATGGAGTATAAACTTTAAAATTATGAATCACCATACTGAACACCTGTACCTTACAAAATACTGTACATCAACTGTATTTCAATTAAAAAAAAATCTCTTACCCAAGACATGTAGTTTATATGGCTGTTTTCAGTAAAAGGAAATTCTATCTTCCTTTAATCCAATTAAAAGCAACAATGACACATCGTTAAAAAAAAATACTAGTTGCAAACGTCCTAAAAGGATTTTCTCCAGAATGTAAAATTTCTGTCATGTCTACTAAGGATCTAGAATAAAAGACATCTTTTAAAGTATCTTAAAAGGAGGTTATATTGTAGTACAGAGAGAGGTCATAATGCAGTGACCTAAGAGGGAGAATGAATGCAGAGAACAGAAACACTTACACCTCAACTTCTGTTCTTTATCTCCTTTGACACTGAATTGAGAGACTCCCTCAATGAACTCTGAAGAAAGATAAAAGAAGTTTACAAATCAGAAGTTTCATTTTTTTACAAAGAAAAACACATACACACCCATATACAAACCAAAACACCCTAGATGCCCACAAAAGGATATTTTCTTGCTGCAAAAGTTCGAAAAAGCCAAATTTGGAACTTCAACAAAGTTCTATTTTTTCAGTTTGAACTTAGAGTTCTCTAAAGTAAAGTCATTTTGAACAAATATTTATTCATTAACTACGACAGAGCATAACACTCAAAAACATTATTTCCTTTAGGCTATTTAACTCCTTCTTCCTGGAGTATGACTATAAAAAGGGACTTTAAGAAAAGATTAACGTTGTTTCGCCAGAAAAAAAAGTTTTTTGGATTTCTGGTTCCAAAATTGAGAATAATTTAAATAAACTATTGGAAGTTTTGTGACAAAGGGTCATTCTTCTTTGCTGCCTGCTAAACACTACATCATAACCAGTCTTACATACCCATACCCTCATTTATAATTCATTCCTAAAACTAAAATAACAAAATCTGTTGATTCCCTAGTGAAATGAAATGTTTGTTTACTTTATAGAATCAAATGTAAAATTATGTAGCACGTTAATATTAGCACAAGCACTACCAAGTGTCTTTGTAAAATCTAGATTAACTAAATTAATCCTTCCTACGATAATGCTCAGATCCTGATGACTACAGGTTATTTTTTATTGCTGGCTCAAGTGTAAGTCTCATTCTTTAAGGTTTCCTTAAAAATGCAGCTTCTAATATGCTAAGTTTTCCTAAAGTGAGACTGATTTTCTAAAAAAAAAAAAAAGAGGAAATTGAGCAACAACAAAAAAGACTGATTTTCTAAGAACAAAAGGAATAGTAAATCCCATTTTTAAATTACCTTAAAGGACAATTTAATCACTTATGAACCAAAAAGTAAACGATCTCTCTGTTAGTTCATTAAGGTTCATATACCACAGATTATGAGGTTTTAACGTAGTCTATTATTATAATCTGATCACCAATAATGTAAAGACATTCAAGAAAAACTAAATTTTTCAGACATTTTCATATATAGAGCTGCAAGACTACTCACAGATTGGCTAACTTGTAGCTTTAAAAAAACGACTTTCTTACCTTTAAAGTCTACTTCTCCATTCCCGTCTGTGTCGAATATATCTATTACTCGCTGTACTAGGGGATTTTGTTGTAACTCAGGCAGAGACATGAACTCTTCCACACTCAAAGACCCAGAATTGTCCAAATCGAGCTTCTTAAATCTCTTTCCTAGCCTTTTAATTTCATCAGCATCAACTAAAAGCAAACAAAGAGGTAGCAAGATTTACCAAATTATTTTATGATAATCATCAGGAAAAAATTCAGCAGTTACCCAATAGTTTAATTTCCAATTTCATTAAGAGTCACATTTACTGTTGATTACTTTCTTATAACAAAGAAAATATAACATAAATATGTATTTTAGGTTACCCTTTTGTCTGCCTGCACCTGCCATAATATACACCAACTGTATGCTGACCACCAAGATATTACAGGATTGACCATGCTAAGCTGATCACGGAAGTCAGGTGGTTCTTACCAGGCAGGCTGACTCAATCTCTGTTATGTACCAGAGCACTCTGATTTTCACGTATCTTTTTCAATTTTAACGTAGTTCACGGTTCCAAATTTGAACATAGCCTCCCTCCAATGTTGCCAGTTTCTTGAATATTCTTCCAGAGATATTCTTTGCAAGTATGAGCAAATGAAACCTGGAATTTTTTTTTTAACTGCAAGAATCACAGCTAACAAAATTCACTTTTCAATGCTTTAAAAGAGAAACAAAATAACTAAACAACTTAAGAAAAGTTTGTATTAGTTTGTAATCAGTATGTAAAAATTCAGTACCAGGTCTCATATGCATTCTTGAAAAAGGTTTCTTCATCTTCTAAATTCTACTACTGTTATCATTTCTTTAAAATATGGTTAATTCATATAATTTTGACCATGGCTTAACAGAAATACAAATATGTTAAAAATTTAAATACAACCACCAACTGAAAAAATTTAACAAGTCAAATGTTACATTGCCCATGAGTATATATGTACTGTGGCCCACAATATTAGGGACTAAAACTGTAAACTGTTTTAAAAGTTCAAATAGATGGCATCCTCACCATAAAAACTTCAAAGTTAAAGTATATATTTCTTGAATATAAAACTATTATGTCAAAATGGAATAAGAACTATAATTATCTGCACTCCTAGAGTATAGTCCGTACAATTATAAGACGCTGCTCTAAGATGAATCAGTTCCCACGCAACTGATGAAGAAGGGAGTGACGTCCGCAGAGCATGGAAGTGTCACTGGTCCCCAGTATGCCAGGAAGGGATCAGGGGCACATTTTCTCAAATTACACAGAAAGTCTTAGTAAACTATGAAAACCTTAAGGAATAAAAGGTGAAAACAACAAATGCTTTCCTTAGAGACAAGAACAGCAAGTTTAGTGGCTTCAGGAACCTAAAGGCTTCACCTTATCTGGTGAAAACTTGGGCTGCAACCAAACAAGCTTCCATGATGATTTCCCTTGTCTCCCTCCCCTCCTTCTATCGCCCCCACCAAAAGCGATTAATAAAGGCGACTATACCCTGGCCCATTACTTAATTTTTACAAAATTAGTTTCTGCTGAAACAGATGCCCTCAAGAACCTGTACCTCAAGACAGGAAACACGAACCCCAGTTTAAGGTTAGGAAGTGAACAGTAACGGTCTTAACTACAAACGCCAGAGGTGATTCGTGCTCGTGATTTTCAAGACCACTACTGTCTGCATTAGCACCGTTACAAAGCTGGATAACGAGTGGTCCACCCTCTCCACGTTTTTCCCAGACATGTGACTTTGCAGCACGCAAGGTTTTTCAGAAATGCACGTGTTATATTACAGCGTAAGTACCTTTACAATTAATTCAATGATTCATATAGACACCACTTCAAAGAATATTCAAGCAAAATATACATTTATTTATAATAATCCAATTCAAAATTCAAACATACATTTCATGATAACACCAACTGCATAGAGCATTCATCTTTCTTTAATGGAATAGATGATAAAAGCAAACTGTTCAAACAAACCTTTCCTATTTTCTGTTATGAAATTAGATACCCTTACTTTTGGAGGGAAAAAAAATTCTGTCCCACGAATGCTTTTCACCTCATTTATTTACACGTCTCCCCACCTCAGGGCAGAGCCCATGACTTTCACTGGTGTTCTGTGCACCGCATGTAACAGGGGTTCAATAGATGTTTTAAATGAGTGTTAATTCTAAGCATTTTGGATATAAAACCTATTGATCAAAATATCATCAGTATTTAAAGTAAACTCTACTTACCTAACTAGACACCACTCATCAAACCCTTCAGAAGTCTCTCAGAG